CCCCCCCCCTCCCCATCTCTCCTCCTCCCCCCCTCCCCCCCACCCCGCCCGAGGTTGCAGGAAGGTTCCAGCCTCAAATCTAAGTCTTCAAAAACTTGCGTCTTATCCATGGACCTGCGCAGAGTTTTTCCTGCAACTGAACTGGAGCTCAGAGTGTCTACTCACGAGTACCTTGCAATTTTTGGGATTTTGCTGTGTGCTTCCTGGTTGCTGTGCTGGTGTATTAAACCAGCAGTGACCCGCTTCAAAAGTATTTGTTGGCTGTACTAGCGTGGAGGACCCCTTCTGCTTCAACTTTGATTCCAGAGATGCAGATCTGCAGGCTCCCCAGGGAAGGTGATGTGGCATGGGGAGCTTAGAGGCAGCATCATGTGTCCAGTTTTTGTATTGGACAAAGACCTTGCTCCACCAGGACAGTGTGCTCCCTGTTATGTTACAGCCCTCCACCTCCACATTAAAAAAATGCCCATAAACCAGCCTCTTCCCACCAACTCAAAGTGCAGTTCAGGACCCGAAACATCAGGATCCTTGAATCCCTGGAGGTGAAGGTACAGGGTGATATTACGCTTTCCAGAAGAGGTAAGCCAGAAGAGGAACACTAACACCATGGGATTGGTTTTGTTGTTAAAAAACAAATTAATCTAGAAGTAGTGTACCGCAGGTATCAATGTGTAACCCTAGAAATAAGTGGTGAAGAAGGAATTCTACCCCAGCCTTGATCATTCACTATTGTGTCTCACAGAAAATCGAGCTGATTCTCCTTGATGATTTCAATGCCAGAGTTGGAGAGGCGAGACTAGCAAGGAAGGCAAGCAGTAATAGAGTGGCTCCTCCTGTTGAAAGCAGTTTATTTCGTCAGAGAGAAATGCAGGAACTCATAGCAACACACTCGCCCTGGGTGTTGTCACCTCTTTGACTGCCTCACTGCCTTGTGAGGGACTGCAGGAGGTCCTTAATGCTTGTAACATGGCAAGAGCTGACTGCTGGATCAGCCTCGTCCAAGAAACGGTAGAGTCAGCAGAAGCACTGAGAGAAATTCAATGTCAGTGGACTCCAGGACTAAATACAGAAAAAATCTACTCTGTCAACAACTTGGAGATGTTCAGTGGTCTGCCCTTAAATTAATCGGAAACAGTTCTTGAGAAGAGACAAGGTCTCTCTCTCCTCCACTGACGCCCTCATCCGCTTAGCTGAACTCGTCCTCTGCCTACCTCTCTGCCATGAAGGCTGGTTTGATGCGAATGATCAAGAGATCAGGGAGTACTGAATCACAACTCGGAGTACCAGGGAAGGAAAGCAGGCAAATGGATGCTGAGGTCCAATTACAAAAAGACTGTAAACTTAAAAAAAAAACACATGGTGGATGGAAAAAGATTTAGGAACCCCTGAAACTCGCCTTACAGCCATGATCTGTGTGGATTCCTCAACGCAGTCAAACCCTTTCATGGCCGAAACACCAAGGATCTGCTCCACTGAGCTAAGAACAACATGCTGCTCACCAAGGACACAGGCAGTTAACGTTCCCTGGAAGGAGCACTTTGCAAATCTTCTTGATGTGAAGCCTTTCACCACATCCTACTGCATGTTACCCATCACCGTCTTGACGCAGTCCCAGCCTGACATGAGGTGACATGGTCATTTAGTAGCTGTGATCCTCACTAACACACCTCCACAGATCCGTTGCACATACTACTGGGGACTGAGCAAGCCTGTCTCATTTTGCAAATGCTCTTCCTTATCTTCCTCACTGCAACCCTGAACCTATCCATGAGGCTTCCCACCACAATGAAACTTCACCACAGGACAAGCAGAAAAGAGTGTCGCCCTCAGACCAGAACCAAGACCACACTTGCTGAGCTGTGGGCTACCAGTGACACCTGTGTGTGTATTTGCTCTGTGGGTGAGCTCCAAACCATCATCAGTGCATCCACCGAAACATGAGCATGAATGGGCCTTGGAGTTTTCTCTTCCAGATGTTTGGCCTACCAGCCTGCTCACGGTGTACAGCACTGTTCCTTGGTAATCACGATACACAACAAGCCACGAGACAATGTGGATCAGTTCTCATTCGTTGCAAGCCTCCTCTCAGCAACGGCTGACATTGATGATGAATTTCAACACCGTGTCTAGCACAGCCTTCATCTGTCTGGGGAACAGCATGTTTGACAAAGACCTCAAACCAGGCACCATGGTCACGGTCTACACGGCAGCAGTGTTCTCTGCCTCCTGTATGTGGCAGAGACACGGACAATGTACAGCAAATCCTTGGGGAAATATCACCACCAATGGCTTCACAATGTCCTGCAAATGCCCTGGCAGGACAGACAGTCCGTTTTCAGTGTCCTTCCTCAGGCCAACATCCCCAGTATCAAGACTCTGCTTACGGTCAATCAGTTGGCACTGTGTAGAGCCAGCTCATCCACATGCCTGACAAGGCTCTCACAATGAACTCTGTACTCCTGAGCTTTGTCATGGTAACTGGACAACAGGAGGACAGAGGAAATGGTTCACGGACTTTCTCAAAGTCTCCCTGAAATAAAAATGCAATGTCCCCACTGATTTGTGGGAGCCTGATGCCCAAGACTGCCCACACCACGGGGGGAGTAACTGCACAGGTGCCAGCCATCACCTACTGGCCCAGGTGGAGACTGAGTACAAACATTGGAAGGCGTTTGAGGAAACCCATACATCCCACTCCTGAGACGCCACCTCTGGCAGACTGCCCAGACCCAGCACTGAATTACCCAGTGATCTCGGGACACACAACTTGGGAAGAAAGTCATCCTTGATCCTGGCGGACTGTCTGAGAAGATGATGTTGTCTGTAGAGCACTGTAGTTGTTTGGGAGATTGTGGGAAGTGCCATCTAATTTTGGAAAAGAAAGATTCTCTTTATCAGAGAGACTGTTCTGAATTTCGCAGCAGTTGCTGTATTTGGGTGATTGCCCCTTGTCTAGGGCTTCTCTTTCTTGAAAGACTTGCTGTTGCTGTGTTCTCTGTTCTGTAGGAAAGGAAAATACTCTCCCTAATTGGTCTCAACATCTTCAGTCTCCAGTTAAAAAGTTGAGCAGTGCCATTCGCGATTCAGTAGTATTTATTGTGGGATGTTTTTCCACGTTAATCACTTGCTGCTATGATATCTGATCTGGAATGTCTTTTGGACTCTACTCCTACCTAGAACAACGGTACTTTGTAATTGAACATTGCGCAAGAACCTTGATACCATCTCCAGACAAAGCAGCCTTCTTGCTTGGCACTACATCCACAAGCATCCAGTCCCACCTCCACTGATGCTCAGTAACAGTGGTGTATACTGTCTACCAGATGCATTGCAGAAATTCACCAAACCCATGACCACTTCCATCTAGAAGGACAAGTGTATCAGATACATGGGATCACCACTATCTGCAAATTCCTCTCTCAACCACTCACTGTTCTGACTTGGGAATGTATTATCGTTCCTTTACTGTTGCTGGGTCAAATCCTGGGACTTCCTTTCTAAGGGTACAGTGGTCTACCTACAGAACGTGGCCTCAAGAATGCAGCTCACTGCTACCTTCTCAACAGCCAGTGATACTGACATCCCATGAGTGAATTAAAAGATATTGAACTCGCATTTATATGGTCCCAAGCATAGGATGTTTCTAAAGTGTTTTACAATCAACTAGTTTTGAAGTGTAATCATTCTTGTAATGTATGAGGGGCAGCAGTCAAACTGCTTACAACAAGAATCCCCAAAAATAGCAAAGTAGGAATGATTGGGGAATCTGCTTTTAATAACAGCAATTCTGAATAAGGATTGGCCACAGCATGGGGCGTTCTTGTCTTTTGAGTTATTTTGTTTATTAGTTCACAGAATGAGGGTGTCGCTGGTTAGGTTTGCATTTATTGACCATCCCTGATTACCCAGAGGGCTGCTGCACAGTATAGGATTTTAATTTGCTGTCTCCTTCCAGGCTGAAGATGGTGACGAGAAAGTCCGCAAGAAGCTCCCTGTGAAACTGAATGAAGAGATTTCCAGTGACTCTGAAACTGAAAGGTAATGTTTGGTTTCTAATGTGATGACAACACTTGTGATGTGACATGTCCAAAGTGATGGCATACTCAATATATGGAAAATAACCATATCTTACTAACTTAACATGAAACCAGCCCGTTTTCAGAGACTGCAATGGAGCAAGCTAACCTAAGTTAAGCTACAGGTTCAGAAATATTGATAGAGAATAAATAAACAGTCAGGAATCCTCCTTCAGATCCGACAGCTAAGGACAAAGCTATAAAAATTACATTGGACCAGAAGAGAGAATAAATAAACAGGTAAATAAAACATTGTGCTGAGGGTCAGATTAGCGTATAGCCCAAGTAACAGTTCTGTATACAAGCGCATGGGATGTAAGTTTTAAAAAAAACTCACTGCAGGTACAAATTCAATTTGGAGGTTATGATATAGTAGTCATTACTGAGAATGGTCAAGTTTGGGAACTAGTATATAATTTATATAAAAATCAGCTCTAGGTTATAAGGTTTACAGAACGAACAGGGAGAATTGCAGAGGAGTGGACTAGCAGAAAACTACTTTAATACTGAGGGAGGATATAATGAGGAAAGCATTCAGGTAGAAAGTAGAAATTCTGGGATTTAAATCCTCTCTCTCCATCCTTGGTCTTTTGTTGGCAATAACTAATCCTTTAACATTGTAATTTTGTATCAGCAACTGTGTGTGAGTTACATTTATATCTTCACTCTGTCAATTACATCATGATGAAGGCGCAACTGCTGTATCATTAAATATACAAGTCTATGTTTAAACTTTGATCTATAACAACCAAGGAGCTTCAGTCACCTCTGGGCCGTGTTATTGATGAAAACTTGCTATTATGCCCTACGTTCTGCTGTCCGCTGTAAAGGATAATCCAGGCTAAGGACATCCCCACCTAGTCTTGGCCATTCAGCCAGGGCAACTGAGAATCCTCGCTTCAGGAAAGGCTTTATGAAAGAATTCAGCAGACAGAATAAGGAGAAGTAGTGCAGTGTAATTCTAAAGCGGATGAGGTACAGAATACCCTAGAGGTATCTCCATCTTTTGAAGGTGCCAGAATGTTTGGGGAAAGCAGTTAATGAAGCACGTGGGATCTGGAGCTTCACAAATTAGAGTCGAAAGGCAGGCACATGCACTGAGCCTTTCAGAAACGGATTTATTTCCATTTCTGGTCATCAAACCCAGGACGTGAAGGTCCTTGAAGGTGCGGGAGAGATTTACCAGAATGATTGCAGGAGGGAGGGATTCCAGCTGGGTCCTTGCAATTAAGGCGTTTGAGGGGAGACATGATTGAGGTGTACGTAATCACGACTGGTTTCAAAAGGCAGAAGAGGAATACCTGTGCCCGATATCTCATACATGCAGAGTGAAGGTTTAGGGTAAGAGCTGGAGTAGGCCAGTGGTAATGATACTGAATGTGCTGTCATGGGCAGCACAATCAATGATTTAAAAACAAAAGTTTGTGTGTGGATTTGAAGGAAATGAATACAGGTTTGCTGGGGTGGTACGATGGAACGGGGCTGACTGGATCGCTCTCTCTGCAGAGTATGCATTGACTCGAAGAGCTGAACGGCCTGCTGTCAGAAATGACTTCAGAACCCCATGTATCTGTGCTGACATCGGGTTCCTGCTGTCGCTGAGTTGATGCTGCACTGCTAAGATTCCAGTTTCGAACTGAAGGGGTCTGGTACATCCTCCCTGTGCAGCCCCAGTCTGTATGGGGCACGTTGGGCAATGGCTAGTCACAGGGTGGTAAGTTTTGATAAGTCTGTCACTTGCCCCAGTGTTTGTGTGTGATTTAATGGGGAATGGAAATTCTGCCCTGGATCCTGTGGACTATGGAGGAAGAGGTTGTCAATGCCCTTGAGTGGGAGCTACCCTCGTGTCAGTCAGTCAGGAGCTAACGTGCTCAATGACACTGCGTTTACATACGGAAATGGTTCTGTCCATTAGTCAATTAAATCCTAGCCCAACAAGCTGAAGTGCAGACGACTTTGATGCAGTGGATTATAAAAGACATTAAGCATAGTTAGATTTGAAGCCTCAGTTGTTGCTGACTAATGGAGCTCTAATTGCCCAATCAATTTCTCAATGGCAATCTTGACTCTTCTCTGACAGTGATAGACCCAACAAGAAAGATGCTGAAGTGTTGGAAATTGAGGAGACAGCACAAGAAAAGAAACTGCGACTTGCCAAACTCTACCTGGAGCAACTCCGACAGGAAGGTATGGAAACATTAATGTTCTTAAATATGAAATTGTCTTCTGATGTTTTTAGCATCGGCTGTGAAAATTAACTGATATCAGAGATCCAATCTCCAGTTCCCCCTGTATTTTGCAGAGGGGCGAGGGTAGATGGAGAATGGGAAATGTGGGCTTACTCTGGATAGTCACAGAGCCTGCAGGCCGCCTCAAGATTTATCCCCACCATTGGGAAATGAGGATATGGCGGCATTAAGGGCAACTATTTAGATAACGACACCCAGAGTGCAACACGGGACAGTGTGTACAATGACAGCAAATAAGGTCAAAGGGAGGTAACATGGTAGAAAAGCAAAATTAATAGCCCTTCCATTGAATGCACGTAGTATTCAGAAGAAAATCAATGAATTAATGGCACAAATACAGAATACCGGATATGATGTCATAACCATAGCAGGGACATGGTTACAAGGAGATCAAAGATGGGAACTAAATATTTGGGAGATTGTGACTTGTTGAAAGGACCGGCAGGAGGAAACGGCGGTACGGTTGTATTGTTAGTATGGGATACGTTAGCAAGAGATGGTCTTTGATTGGCAGATGTAGAATCCATGTGATTGGAGGTAAGAAATAAAACTGGGAAGATGACACTGGTCGGAATAGTCTAAAGGATCCCTAACAGTAGCATTGTGGCAGGACAGAGAATAAATCCGAAGGTAATGAGAGCATGTAACAAAGGCAACCCCTGAATCATTTAGAATGGTTGGTCAGATTGGCAGAGGAGGAATTCATAAAGTGTATTTGGGACAATTTCCTGGGATAATATGTTATGGATCCAACCAGGGATCTGATTAGTTCGGATCTAATGGTGTGTAATGAAGAAGGTTTAGTAAATGATTTCAGAGTAAAAGATCCCCAGAAAATAGTTACTATAACACGGGTATCATTTAGCATTCTGTTTGAGAGAGAGAGAAACTTGGGTCAAATACACCTGTGCTAAGCTTAAATAAAAGTAATTGCAAAGGAGTAAGGACAGAGCTGGCACAAGAGTTAAATTAATACTTTGCATCAGCCTTCACAGTAGAAGACATTAACAAACCAAAATTATTAAATAATCAAGGAGCAAAAGGAGGATAGAAAATAACTACAATCTCTTAGGCTCGACATCATTGATGCCAAGAGGTTTTCCCTTGTTGGAGAGACTAGGAGCAGAGGGCATAATCTCAGAGTAAGGGGTTGCACAATTATGACAGAGAGAGGAGGAATTTCTTCTGAGGGTAGTGAATCTATGGAAATCTTTGCCACAGAGGGATGTTGCAGCTGGGTCATTAAGACAGCCAGATCAGCCATGATCTCATGAATGGCAGAGCAGACTTAATGGGTCGAATGGCCTACTTCTCCTAATTCTTATGGTCTTTGGGAGGGAAACAGGACAGCCATTGCCAGGCAATTCTGAAGGGACCAAATTCCAAAACATTTTCCTCTCGTTCCTAATAACTGTGTGGAATTTTCAACACATCAAACCGTGCTTTCCTGGGGACTATCACAACAGGCCTGGGCTTGTACAGAATCTCCCACGCTAGGTCCAGTGTTTGGTTTGTACTGAGCTGGCTAGGATTGGGATGATTACTCTGCACTGAGCTGGTAAAGAAAATCTTGAACAATTGCTGGAAAAGCTCAGCACATCTGACAACAACTGTGGCGAGCAATAAGAGTTAAAGTTTCAGGCCGCGTGACCCTTCCTCGGAACCCTGTTGCTGAGCTTTTCCAGCAATTTCTGCTTTTGTTTCTGATTTAGAGCATCCTCCGTTCTTTTTCGGTTTTGATAAACAAAATCTTGCCCTGGATCTATCTTCAAGTAGGCAAAGGGGCTGCAGAATGCGTCTGTGTAGCTCAAAGACTTTCTGTACGCTGTGTTGCGCAGCAGCTCGATTATACCTTAAATAGAATCTTGCCCTCAGGAGCTGATGGGTTACTGTCTGTTTGTCTTTGTACAGCCCTGTGATTGGTTCCCACAATTCGCATTTTTTTCTTATTATTCACAGAGGAGGAGAAAGCAGACGAGGAGCAGCTTGAGAGGGACCTGATTGGAGGCAGACTGGAGGAGGAAGTGGTAAGAATGCTGCACTTCTGAAGTGAAGAGAAAGAAATACATCAGAAAGTAACTGCACCATAACCTGCCCAGAGCTGGTTTCAGGATCACTTGGTTTACTATTTGTACGACGAGTAAAGCACCTGCCACCTCCTTTGGCAGCTGTTCATTTGAAGTCCGAAGCTGACTGTTCAGGCAGGAGCCCCAATCTGATTCATGATGCAGCATTGCCCTCCAGTAGTAGGTGGGAAAGTGGTCCTTGATTTGAACCAGTCGTATGGCTCCCCCCAATAAGGACCAAGTTGGAATTGTTTTTCTGAATGGACTTGCACAGTATGATACTACATTGTCCAGTCACCACTGACGACTCCAAACAAAACAAACATGATAGAAATGGCCATCTTTTCCACAAGCCTTAAGGCGTCCAGTTCAGTGTCACTTTGGGCTGATTTGTTCTAGATCTTTTCCTGTTTGAAAACAGATATTAATCCAATCGGAGTTTGAAGGGCCCCACAGGTGGGAGACTGTGCAAATTAAGGACCTCTTGAAGTTTATCAACCGATGCCTAACTGTTGATGTTTTTACCGTGTAAAAACGGGTCCTGTAGTGTTTCCATTGTTATGCTGTGTTTGTAATATTTCTTGTCTCTTTGCAGCTCGAGCAGAAGGGCAAGCTTAAACGACTCCTAGCGAAGGATGTAAGTACAAGTTTAATGCTACTCGGGAGGCTTTCCTCCCATCCCTTAACCTGAGGATAAAGCCGAGTACAGTGAAAACAGTGAAACCCATTCACGTTACAGTTCAGATTTTTTTCCAAAAACTTTTTTTCTTGTGCAAGCATCCTGTTTCTACAAATAAACTGTTACTTCCAAACTGAAACCTGGACCTTCTATTCTTCCCATTACAACGGGGAATGGCCAAACCCCTCTGATAATTAAACTAAACCCAAGCCCCGATCTGTTATGACAGGAGTAGGGGTTCCCCTCTAATAATTACTCCCTAAACTGCCAGAGAAGCTCGCCTTACCCCTCGTAATCTATTAAGAGTGGTTAAAAGAAATAAAATCTCTGATCTCCACCTTACAAGTAACAATTTATTTATTTAACCCAACAATGAACAAGTTAACAAAATTACTAATGAAACAACAGTTCCCCATAGACTACTAACTACTCCCTAACTGGTCTAAATTCTTCTAGAATGCTGCTTAAATAAAGACAGGTTCCATTATTATAAACCCAATTAATAAGAAGCAATAAATTATAACTTAATCTCTTCTGGAATCCTCTGTCATCTCCGGTCTCTTCACAGACACCTTTCTTCCGTTAATTCTGCTGTCAGGGCTGTTTTATTTCTATAATATCTTCAATGAGGACTTTGAGCTTAAATACGGTGGTACCTTTGTCTCATTAGACGGTGTTTCTCTGAGAGCTGAATGGTGCTAACTCTGGTAGGTGGCAGATGGCTCTCCCCGATTTTCAAAATTCCCTCGTCTTGTATACCCGTAATGACATAATCAAACTCTTATAATATGATTGGTTTCAGGTTGTCAACACCATCGGATTTAAATTCAACTGGTTTTGAATCGCTGATTTTGGTTTTAAATTAATTGACCGAATTCAAACTTGTTGCCACAGCATCAAAACAAGACTGCTGTTTTGCCTGCCTCCTGTGAGGCTTTGATACACTTGTTTCACGTTTTGAGGCTGTCTGTACTGGCAACTTCAGCTGCTGCTCACAGACATACATTGCAAACAAAGCACAAATCTTTTAAAGGGACCACACACTTTAGCTTCCTGCCTTCCACCTCACAATTGCTCGACCCAACTTCGTGACATTTCCCTAGTGGATGATGTAGTCCTGGCCTAACAGTTAATCATAATTGTGTTAAATTGCTTTCTAGAGAAAGATGTTGCTTATGATCTTGTAAAGATTGTACAAGAATTAGACAAAGCAATTAATACCAACTTAAAGTTAATTTGTTTTGCAAACCACTTATGTTTGAATACCTTCTTTTCTACGTTTATTTCCACTCAAGATTTCCCATAAACATTTACAGGATGTTGAGTGTTCCTTCATTGTACGTGAGGCCAGATCATGTGCCACAGCTCCCAGGAATTCTCTTTGACTCTCTGTTGTGTTCCCGCTGCTATCAACAATGTGAGCTTTCTTGGGCTACTTCCAGTTATGCCTGGATAAGTGTCTCCCGCTTCAATATCTCTGTTGTGTACTCCCCAGCTTAATCACTGTATCCTTGCCTAATGAGTCCAAACCAGAAACACCTTTGGTTTCTGAGAACAGTCTGCTACTGTTTCCAGAGATAGTAGGAACTGCAGAAGGATCTAGGCCCGAAACGTCAGCCTTTCTGCTCCTCTGATGCTGCTTGGCCTGCTGTGTTCATTCAGCTCTACACCTTGTTATCTCTGCTACTGTTTCCAGTTGCTTTCCAGCTCCTGGCAAGTTCTCTGTTTGTCTTAAAACAACTTCTAGGCTGGCAGGCTATTTATTGTGAAGTCACCCAGATAAAACCCACAACCAAAAATAAAACCTCTAGGTCATCCATCTCCAATGCAAATTGCATCTCTGAATTGTCCCAGGTAGAATTGCACTAATTCTCTTCAATTTTAAATCTTACCATTTGTTTTGCGAACCAATGAATAATTATTGAAACAGCTGCAGACATCGTGTCCACCAAGATGCTTAAAAAGGTAGCCCGTTGTTTAGTTTCTGACACTGAATACCTTGACTTCATAAAATAAGCATAAGCTAGCCTTCTATTTGTAGTTACTTTATACGTTTACCAGTTTCTTGAGCCAGATCAGGTGTTTCAGTTTAAAGAAATTCAATTCCCAAACTAAAAGTTATTTTCCCAAAACAGTTTGAACTTGAAAATACATATTCATAACAGTTGGTTGTCATTGCATCAGTTTTCAGTTTAGAAAGCATATTTACAATATTAAACTGTTTCTTACAGGCTAAGCTGCTGCTTTCTGGATTATTTATAATTGAAATGCTACACAGAAGCAGATGTCTAAAGAAGATGCAGTTGATTATAATTGGTGGTTGCATTTTCTGCAACTGGAATGACTTTAATTTGTTTACCCAGTTGTTTCTGGCAATTCCTTTCTAGAAATCAGCCAAAGTGTTAATTTTTACAATGGAACAATAACAGTTGTGTTTTTGTTTAGTTTTTCACATCTCCAGTAGGCTACTTAGCTGCATGATGATGGCAGAATCACAGAGCAGTCTCCTGTTAACTTTTGAACAACAACCCAATCTGATTTTTACAGAGAATCTTGTATTTAGCAAAGCCACAGCCTTTGTTTTAGTCCCACTATTTGAAGTATAGATTGTAACCTGCGCAACTAGCAAAATAAAAATACCCGTTTTCAATCACATTCAGTAAAGAGATGTCTAACTACTGGTTTCTCTTCATTGTTTGATTTTTGTGGCATAAATGCTGACTCACTGGTGCATGGTTCTGGTCTGGTAACTAGGACAACCCTTGTTGCTAGGCAATGAGCTGCTTGCTCTTCCCCTCACTGCGGTCCATTGTTTGTTTGTGTACAAAGAATTTGCTGCCCCTGTGTGTCTGCATGGAAGGGAGTATATGCTGAGGGTGGGGTGAATGAGTCACTAATTGAATGGGCTGCTTTGTCCTGGGTGGTGTTGAGTTTAGTGAGTGTTTGTTGAAGCTGTAAAAATTAAGGAAATGGAGAGTATTCCATCACACCCCTGAGCTGTGGCAGGCAAATGGTGAACAGGAGTTGGGAGGCATTTACCCATTATTAGGCTCTGACCTACTCTTGGAGCCACTATTTATATGGCTGGTCAAGTCCAGATGGCTGTGCCTAGGACAATAACCTGGGGAACTCCCAATGGTGCAGAAATCAGCTGAACTCAGCTGTAGAGCGATGTAGGCACACATGTACTGCTGCCAGAGTATTAGCAATGTTTGTAGCATGTGTATTTGTCACTGACCTACTGAGTTCTCAGAATCAGTCCCATCGCCTACCAGATGTAAGTTAGAAAAGTATGAGAACATTTGCCACTCCTCTGCACATACAAGAGACTCGATCATGCCAACGACACTTCATTCCCTTGCCACCAGACTTCAGTGTGCAGCAGCTCCACCCAAAGTGCCTTCTGTTGTTAATGCACTGAGTAATCTCTATAGTGTGCACTGTAGCAACTGCTAGCTCTGCACTGCCACCTGTCTGGGCAAAGGGGTGCGTGGCATCCCCCTGCAGTGTTCATTCCATCCTGCCTTGGCTGTGCATCGTTATCACTGGGCGAATATCCCACACCTTTGCGTGAGTGCCTTCCCAATATGAACCGAAGAGGGCACCCACCACAGAATGGGTAGTACATGTGGCCTGGTCAACATTGACCATGTTTTAATAATAAATTTGCAAGCCTTCTCTTTTGCCTGTGTTTCCATGGTGTCACCAGTCTTGTGTAATTTCTTCCCAGTAGTGGGATGTGTTTGTGTACCTCCCTGTTTACTGCTCAAGTTGTACTTTACAGGTGCTGATAACTCATTATTGTCTTTCAGTATCTCCCACCCGATGGATCTGAGATCCGTCTGCTACGGGGTCATCAGCTTCCAGTCACGTGTCTGGTTCTCTCCCCCGATGATAAATACGTATTCTCAGCATCCAAAGATTGCTCCATCATAAAGTGTAAGTTCATACCCTCTGAGTATAGGCGTTTTTCTTTCTCAGTAACTGACCCCAGCTGCAGAGTGGAGCTAGTGCCTATGATTTGGTCCTCCCTTTTTGTGCTCATTTTCTCCAGTTTTTGTTTGCTGCCTGTATCCGGGTTTTCCAGGTTTAAAGGGAAGTGCTTCTCTCTCTCCTGTTTCTAGGGGACGTTGCTAGTGGGAAAAAGGTTCACACGATCCACAGAGGGCACAAGGGTGCTGAAGGTCAACAAGTGGGGCACACAATGCACATCCTGTCCATGGCAATATCCTCCGATGGCAAGTACCTGGTGAGTGGCTTCTTGTGGCGAGGTGGTAGCCTTGTGGTAATGACAGTGAGTTGGTAGTCGAGGGGGAGCCAAGCTAAGAGCTCTGGGGAGCTGGGTTCAATTTCCATTGCAGCGCTGGTGGTTACATTTAGTTTTATACATAAGGAATATAGAGCTATTCTCTGTAAAGGTGACACTTCTCGACTGTTGACAAACCTTGTCGGGTTCACCAATGTACTTCAGGGAAGGAATTCTGCCATCCTCACCCAGTCTGGCCTACATGTGACTTCAGACCCATGGCAATGGTCAGTCCAAGGGCAGTGAGGGACGGGCAATAAATTCTACCCTTATTGGTGCTGGTCATGCGCCATGAAGGAAAATAGACTCTCCTGCACCATCCCAATAGGGCTTTCTTAAACTCTTCCTCTTTCTAAGAGTATGACTGCGATTGGCATTTCACATGGTGCCTCGAGAGGAAAGGGAGAGAGGATTTATATTTTTGTAACGTTTTGCATGGTTTCAGAGCATCCCAAAGCAATTCACAGACGATTAACGATTTGTGGAAGAGTAATCACTGTTGTCATGTAGGAAATGTGCTGGTGATTTGCTCAGAACAAGGCACTAGAACCAGCAAATTGCAAGCCAATCTGTTTTATAATTTGAGATTAGTTGAGGGCTAATTATTGCCCAGGGCATGACGGAGAATTCCTCTGCCCTTCTTTGAAATAGAGCCAAGTGATTTATATGCCACTTGAGAGGGCAGACAGGATTCGCGTCTTAAACCAAAGGTGGGAAAAACAGAGTAGTGCAGCATTCCACCTGTGCCACACTTCAGTGCTCTCCCGGGTTGTACACGCAACAGTCTGGGATGGGACTTGCAACCCACAACCAGTTACTTCTGAGCTAGGGATGACATCCGCTTTCTTAGAGTCAGAGTCATACAGCATGGAAACAGACCCGTCGGTCCAACCAGTCTATACTGACCATGTTCCCGAATTAAACTAGTCCCACCTGCCTGGGCTTGGCCCATATCCCTCCAAACATCCACTTTTGCCAGTGTGATATTTACTGTTACTCGTATCAGTCAACCTGCAGTCCTTCTAAGTAACACATTCAGTGCCAAGTTCTTCCTAACTAGGATTGATCAAATTGGTTATCTTGTGTTAAACTCCTTTTTGAATGGATCTGAAATGTCATTTCCTGGACACTCCAATATCATGGTATCTACCTGGTTGGTGACTGTTGTTGAGTTACACAGCCATGCACGTGTAACTTGTCTCATTCGTGTTGTAGCTTACTTGGTACAGATATGCATGTCTCCCTGTTCGATGACTTGTCAGAGTTTAAGGCATTTAATGCTAAATGTGGCTGATGCTATAAAGCTGATGAGTGATGTATATGTAATAGCGTGCTGTGCAGTGCCAGATCTAACTTTCTCTTCCCTGTAGGCTACAGGAGACCAAAACAAACTGATCTTAATCTGGGATGCTGCCTCGTGTCAACATCTTTACACATTCAAGGGACATAAAGATGCGGTATCGGTGAGTAAGGACAGCTTGGGCTGGGTGGAATTGAGTGAATTGTTTCATGTGGTAGGGATTGGACCTTTTCAAGGTGCTGAATGGGATTGTAGACTGACAAAGTGCAGCCAATGCCATTCGGCTCTCTGAATGTGCTAGCCCAGTTAGCCCCACCACACTGCTTCTTCCATCCGGCCCTGAGAATGTTGCTACTTCAGATGTTTCTATTGCTGCGTTTACTAATGTCCTTTAGGGAAGGAAATCTGTGTCCTTACCTGATCTGGTCTACGTGTGACTCCAGACCCAGAGCAATGTGGTTGATTCTCAACTGGCCAATTAGGGATGAGCAATAAATTCTGGCCTGACCAGTGGCATCCATATCCCCTAAATTAATTTTTTTTTAAATCCTCACATCAAAGTTGGTTATTTTGACAATCATTTTAAATCTGTATCTTCCTGGTTAATAACTCCTCTATGAAACAGTTTCTTCTTCACTTGTATCAAACTTTGTGATTTTAAATGTCTCTGAATCAGGTCTCGGAGCTTCCACAGCCTTTCCTTACAATTAAATACCTTTGTCCCTGGTACTGTTGTAGTAAACCCTTTTGATTTGTCTCCAAGGCCTTGACATTCTGTAAGTGTGTTCCAACCACTCGATTTTAGAAGTTCAACATAACTTCCTCACTTTTACATTCTACACTCTGTTTATCAGAGGCTGCTACAGTCCAATTAAAATTGGCCTATTCAGCACTTTTTGCCCATCTCACATCCCATTAAAATGAATTACGTCACCAGCCGTGTGTCCACTCACTTATCCAGTCTTAACTCCATCCTCCTCAGTGTTAATTACATTTCCGAGTCTCCTCTTGTCTGCAAATTTTGAAACAATGCCTTGTCTCCCTGCAGCCAAATACAAGGAAATGTGAAGGCAGAACTTCAGGTTAAACCCTGGGTAATTATCGTGAAAAGGAACCTCCTGTATCCACTTTAATACCCAGGTTATCCTGCCAGTTCTGAATCAAGTAACAGGAGGCATGCTGGCTGCAGAATGAAATGTGTTGATTTTCTCACTCGTTCTCAGATGATGAAGTTAGCCACTCTGATCAAGAGAGCAGCCTCAGAGAGTGTGTTTAAAAATGGAGCTGGCTCTCAAAGTTGTTACACATTCTGGTGCAGTTGATGTTAAACCTCGCAATTGAAAACCTGCTCGAGTACATGTTGAGTCTGAATGTGGTGTTCAGTTGCCCCCTTGTGGCAGAGCGTGATAATGACTGCAGGAGCCGGACTGAGACACAGAGGCATCAGAGGAAGATATTCTGTGACATTGCCTATTGTGTTGTTGATCATGGGGAATGGGTTTTTGGTGTAAGTGTTTATACAGGATGAGGGAAGGATCGATGAGAGGCAAGATTACAAGTAGACAAAACCTGAACTTATGAGCTCTTGTGGGAAATTGTTTTCTGTGTGTAAGTCTTTATAGTAGACGCCTTGAAGGGAGGAAGAGGAAGTGACTTTAATGTTTTAATACAAAATGTCTTCCAGACGAGGTCAAAATTGTGACTTTTGTAAGTAGGGGGAGACGTTCAGTAGTTAAAATTGCTTCACACTGTAGCTCATTGTTTTCAGCTCTTGCAAGGCTTGTCTCACCAGCTGTGTCTTTCCCTCAGGGTCTGTCCTTTCGGAAAGGCACCCATCAGTTATACAGTGCCTCACATGACCGCTCAGTCAAAGTCTGGAATGTGGACCAGAACGCCTACGTTGAAACTCTGTGAGTATTGCAGCAGGAGTATGGAGCTGGGTTGAAAATGTGTGCTTTATACCCACGCTGGCCCTGTTTGATGCCAGCTTGCATTGATACATGTCGCATCAGTTCACCCTGTTAATGTACTTGTTAGAAGTCTATGCAAATTTAATTAGACACAACATTAGAGTCCAATCAGATCACTTCAACAACAACCATTCCTCTCACCAGGGGGAGCCACTTGGGTTTCAGTGCTTCTCCTGAAGTGACGACTCTAAAAGAGCCTTTATCCTCCAATACCCATTTCATGTTGATGACTTCTGCAATTCATTTTTAAGCAAATTTCAGTTTGTGGCCCTTTGGGTTAAGTTTAAACTTGCTGACGTTCCGTGACCCCTTGGTTATCTGATTGATTATTGAGTATAAACATTTCTCGAGCTCTGACCTCACCAATATCACAGGCATTGTTTGATATTGATAACAGTCAGTTGTATTTCACTTAACACGTCTCTGCTGCACCACCTTCGTGTTACCAATTAAGTATGAACCTTGATATGTCCTGTTTTTTCACTTTTTATGCTACTGCACTTTTAACCCGAAGCAAGGATTTCAGAGAGACACATCCGTTCTGCTCATTCTTCCATTTGCTGTCTTCTCCCACTTTGCTTTGCTTTCAGTAAAAATAACTCGAGTGTAAACACAGGATCTCCACCAGGACTACAGGGTTTCTGAAGCTTGATTTGTATTTCTTTCTTGTGGCCACTTCTGAGGTGGACAGACAGGCCGTGGACCAGTAATGGGCTTTGCGACTTGTAGAGTGGCTTCTGGGTGGATCGAGGCTCCAGGATCTTCCTGAGCTCTCTCTGATTATCCTACACTGTCACCAACATCACCATAAGTCAGCTTCAGTGAAAGTGTGTGGGTCTGTGTTGGGTGGGGGTGTGTATCTGAAGTCCTGGAAAAGAAGTTTGAGTAGGAACAATCTATCATGTTTTGATTAAAATACTGCGGAGATGCAGGACTTCCTGAAAAGAAAGAGAACCATTTGCAATGGTGGGACATCCCAAAGCACTAAACTCAGCAAGCTCCCGCAGATGATAATTGACCAGATAGTCATAGAGATGTACAGCACAGAAACAGACCCTTCAGTATAACTTGTCCATGCCAACCAGATATCTTAAATAAATCTAGTCCCTTTTGCCAGCATTTGCCCCATGTCCCTCTTAAACCCTTCCTAGTCATATACCTGTCCAGATGCCTTTTAAATGTTGTAATTGTACCAGCCTCCACCACTTCCTCTGGCAGCTTATTCCATGCATGCACCACCCTCTGCGTGAAAAAGTTGCCCCTTGGGTCCCTTTTAAATCTTTCCTCTCTCACCTTAAACCTATGCCCCTCTAGTTTTGGGCTCCCCAACCCCAGGGAAAAGACCTTGCCTACTTGCCCTATCCATGCTCTTCTTGACTTTGTAAACTTCTGTAAGGTCACCCCTCAGCCACTGACACTGCAGGGAAAACAGCCTCAGCCTATTGAGCCTCTCCCTATAGCTCAAACCCTCCAACCCTGGCAACATCCTTGTAAATCTTTTATGAACCCTTTCAATTTTAGCAACTTCCTTCCTACAGCAGGGAGACCAGAATTGCACGCAGTATTCTAAAAGCGGCCTAACCAATGTCCTGTACAGTTGGAACATGACCTCCCAACTCCTATACTCAATGCACTGACCAATGAAGGCAAGTATACCAAATGCTGCCTTCACTATCCTACCGACCTGCAATTCCACTTTCAAGCAACTATGAACCTGCACCCCAAGGTTTCTTTGTTCAGCAACACTGTCCAGGATTTTACCAATAAGTGTATAAGTCCTGCCCTGATTTGTCTTTCCAGATTGCAGCACCTCACATTTGTCTAAGTTAAACTCCATTAATCTGTTTTTTTGGTGTGTGTGAAATGTTGGCTAGAACTTCTGATGCATTTTTCTTGCTCTTCAAATAATGTCAGGGAATCTCAGTTCACCTGACATGTCAAATGGGTGTCTCTGTTTAAGGTGTCGTTCAGTGGTCAGCTTTGTCTCTGAAACGGGGTTTCAGCCCACACCGTTTGGGATGGTTGCCTGGGAGTTTGTGTGAAAATGAACAGCAGTGCCCACAGCTAAGCTGAAAGTTGGTGCTGGGTTCTGTCCTTGATTTCTCTGTTTCAATTCAAACAGGTTTGGTCACCAGGATGCCATCACAGGTCTGGACAGCCTTAGTCGAGAGCGCTGTGTCACCGCAGGGGGCCGAGACCGGACGGTGCGTGTCTGGAAGATTGTCGAAGAAGCACAGCTTGTATTTCATGGTCATGAGTGAGTAGTGAGATTGCAGACACCAATAATGTGTGTTGTCGGCTTTGCACACGTGGCTTTATCCAGACAGTGCTGCCTGTTTCTTACATGTTCCAGTTTTGAATTCCTGCACCATTGGCGGCCATGCTTTCAGCTGCTTAAAGCCTATACTCTGGAGTTCCCCTTGTAAACTTCTGCTTCTCTCTAGAATGCAGCCTCGATCATTTCCTCTGGCAGCTCATTCCATACATGCACCACCCTCTGTGAAACCTGGTAATTTTTGATACAGTTCACAAGCTAAAAATTGTGTGAGAACATGCTTATTTTACAGGCTTAGCAATTCACAGAACCCCTACGGTGTGGAAACAGGCCTTTCAGCCCAACAAGTCCACACCGACCCTCGGAGCATCCCACCCAGACCCATCCCCCTATAACCCACCTAATGCATATGCTGAACACTATGGGGTAATTTAGTGTGGCCAATCCACCTAACCTGCACACCTTTGGACAGTGGGAGGAAACCGGAGCACCCGGAGGAAACCCACACAGACATGGGGAGAATGTGCAAACTCCACACACGCAGTCGCCCGAGGGTGAAATTGAACCCGGGTCCCTGGTGCTGCGAGGCAACAGTGCTAACCACTGAGCCACCGTGTGGCAGAAATTGCAAACTATGCTTGAGCCAGGTAGGAGTCGAACCTACCATCTCCTGATCTGTAGTCAGGCATGTTATCCATTGCGCCACTGGCCCTGTCTAAAATTCTAGCCGCTGTATATTCTCCTCAGCATTTGTTGTGGAGAACGAGCTCTGTCTGAGGTTTTTCGAACTGGACGGATTTTCTGACCATCCGTCGTCTCCATCGAGTGCGATGAAGACTAATTGCTGAGGCAGTGTACAGTGGACGGATGGCCGAGTGAATCTGAACTGGGACTGCTCCAAGCTCAGCCTGAGTATAATTGGAAGAAGGGAGTAGGCAGTAGCCAGATTCCTATACTTCCCAGTCCCAACACCTGTATTGTAAAGGAGAGAGCTGTGTGTAAAGACGTGTCACTTCTTTTGACAGAATTCAGACACGTTGGTCTGCAGCAGGATTAAATGTGAAAAGCTTTATTCCTGAGAGAACTTTCTGACTGTAACTTGGTTCTGTCTTATGGTTATTATAATGGTTTCTGGGCCATTTCCCTGCTCTGTCATTTCCAAGTGGCTGTCTTGCATGTTGACCCCTTCTATGGAATGTTTATTGGCTTCACACCTGCTGGCTCCCTCAGCTGTCATGTGTAATGTGAAAATTCTCTACTTTGCACCTGTCATTTTAAAGATTAATACTACATTCTCAATCCCTGGCAGATAAATCAATCTGCCACTTCAGCTCCTCAATCCTGAACTCTGGGGAGCAGTGCTGCACTTTTCTCTTTGTCCAGTTATGTGCGAAAGTCCAGGAGCCAGGAAAACTGGTTACAGAATTGTGACCTGCTGACAACGCTATTGTTTGTTTTCTTGCTCACTAAATATGATGGTACTGTATAGTCTAAATGCTGATGGTTCGTCCAATGTGGAATGGTCCCTATCTGTTCTCTTTGGTGTGCACTTTATAGCCTCCATCTCTGTTGATCTTTGGATGGCTTTATTTATCGAGTCAGACAGCACAGAAACAGACCCTTCAGTCCAACCCGCCCATGCTGACCATAATCCCAAACTAAGCTAGTCCCACCTGCTTATGCTTGGCCCATATCCCTCCAAACATTTCTTATTCATGTACTTATGTAAGTGCCTTTTAAAAGTCGTAACTTCACACGCATCCTCCACTTCCTCTGGAAGTTCGTTCCCCACACAAACCACATTTTTTTTTTCTTTAAAAGATGCCCTTCATGTCTTTTACATCATTTTCCTTTCAACTTAAAAATGTGCCCATGATGCACATCCTGTCTCTGTCCCATCAAGTGATGCAGGTTACACATGAATCGTCTTCAGTGGTTACAATCTATTCTGTAAATGCACGCTGCATCTCATCCTGAGGGTAGTGCTGCCCCTTTGGAAAAGGTCAGGCTGTGACTGCAGTTAAGATAAAAGCTTTAAGGTGGGTCAGCAGTGATCTCTAATGCTAGCTTTCCTCTGGCCTCTGTCTAAGAGCAGACATTGCCCATCTAATGTAATGGAGAGCAATAGCCAGGCATTACGTTCTGACACAGGTCCGAGTCATTATAAAATGAATTCTGCATCAAAGGAGCACATGGAATCTGAGCTTAAACAGTAGCTTGGCAAGAAAAAGGACTGTGTTTAAAGGGGGAGGGATGGAGAATGGCAGCCAGAGACACTAATTGGGGCTGTCTGCTTTTAATTAGCTGCTTGTGCAGGTGTTGTTGTGTTACCTCTGGAATTCTGCAGGTGCTTCCAGTTGATGGGGCTGGGAATATGGGAGTTGCATGACAAAATAAGAACAAGATTCATCTCCTCCAATCCTGCTAGGTGCAGGGAACAATGAGAATGGGAGTTGTTAGCCAATCCTCCTCAGAAAGGAGGGGATGAAAACAATCATGGTGGGATTTCAGCTGTTATAGTCACTTAAAAAAAAGTTTCAAATTGTACTTGTGCTGCATTCCATAATATTATGTTGAAAGACACCTATCTCCTGTGCACTTCACATACTCAATCTTGCACCATGACCTCTGAGAGGCTGTATGCTTTAGATTTGCTGTTTCCTTATTGAAATGTGAAATACAGATGTATTTTCAATTGACCTTATTTAAATGAGGACCTATCCTCCAGTTCTACTCTGCTGAACAAGATGAAGCTGTGTTTTTCATGTGATCTAATGCCTTCAGACTTTTTAACATAGTGATCACTACCTCACTCTCCTTGAATAAACATGGCCGTGCCCATATCATTCATCTTCCTAAAATTCTGAAATGCTTTGATAGATTAGTCGTGGAGACAGTTGTTCCTAAGATTAAAAGTCATTGGCAATCTGTGCAGGATAATTGCCAAGAAAGCAAACTAGGCATTCAAAAGAAGTTTTTTCATCTAGCGAGTGGGAAGATTGACCCCAGGATGTGTTTTGAGGTGGATGATATGGATGCATTTCAGAAGTTAGCTGAACGTGTGTGTGGGAGAAGCCTGAAAAATTGATGATTAAACCATCAGGTGAGCTGAATGGGCCGTTTTGATGCCAATCATTTTCAATCATTGTGTTTCCTCTTTTTGTTATTGCAGTGTCTTTTTGAAATGTAGCTGTCAAGACTATGTACAGTATCCCAATGTGGTCTGCTTAATGAATTATAAAGTTGCAGGATTGCCTCACTTTCAATGTAACACTGATTGTTTAAAATATCACACTGCTTGATTTGTCCCATCCACTGCTGTCAAGCATTAATGCAATAATTTCAGTTTATTAAGGGGCACTACCAGTGAGATGAGGGTTTGGGTATGGAAGCAGGGCTGTGCCAGTGAGGCGGGGGTTGTTCAAGTACATTAGCAGTGAGATACTTTACTGCTTGTGTATGAGAGTTCTGAACTGCTGTGTAGCTGATGTGCAGGGCGCTGTTATAAAATGGGGTCACTTCTGAGGAGAGACAGTCAGACAGTTACAATGGAACAGCTCTTAATGTGTTTGTCCTTGCACCAAGAATAAACAACGCAGTTTTATTCCAATATAAACTTTCTGACCGTAATCCTGTTAGTTCTAGCATTATAAACTGTGGTGAGATGGGATTACAGAATTGTATGCAGAATGCTGAAAACTATTTGTATGATTTATACCGTATTGTTAATCGCAATTGCCAACAAGAGAGCAGTTTTCCCGTAGTTGTCATCCAGCACCTGGCAGCAGGAAATGATGTCCTCCAGCAGTAGAACTTTATCTCATTCTGCCGTCCTCACTGATACGACAAAAGAGCAGGGATCAATAGCCAGCCCGATAACCCCCACCCGCTCCTCCCCTTGCCCCCGACCGATGGTCTCAGGTTTATAGCTGTCCTCCCAAAGGCCAGTGTTGATGGGAGAGCCCTGAGGAAGTGTCTTTGCTGTCTGCTCACTCCCTACTCTGTGCCAGCATCTCACTGCAGCTTTCTTTCATCCCCAGGAGTTCCATTGACTGCATACAACTGGTGAATGAGGAGTACATGGTTTCTGGAGGCGATGATGGGTATGTTTATTACTTGACGTGTGTGACTTTTTAACCAGCTTATATGTTTTGTAAAAACAGATATTTGAAATGCATTCATATCACTAGCTTTGAGAGCCATGAAATGTGCACCTTGCTGTGTTTCAGCTCCTTGGCCCTTTGGACAGTTACGAAGAAGAAGCCTCTGGTGACGGTCAGCAAAGCTCATGGTATCCATGGAGACCCAGCGATACAGCAGCCATATTGGATTACCTCTGTGGCGGCATTGCTGAACAGTGATTTGATAGCCTCAGGTGCTTCAAGCTGAGAGACACTGCTTATTGTTCCTTGTGCCTGTTTAGTTTTCGTTGACTAGCACTGACCAAACTCTAATTTCATTGAGCAGGTTGCTCTGTTCAATCTGTAGAAATCCTTAAGCCTCCTCCAATGCACTTTAATCACCATGTTTTCTTAAGTTTTGCAGCTCTGCTCCTGTGAAGTGCCTTAGGTTATTTCAGTAAGCTAAGGTGCTATGGAAGTGCACGTTGTTGCTGCCATCCGATTCCTTGGTATCACCAGTATGTAACGTTATCCTGATCTCAGGCTCGACCTGTCTTGAGCCCAGTTTTGGTCTCTGTGACTCTAGGTCACAGAGTGTGTATTAGCGAGTGGACTGTCTAGAATGCACAGCAGTCATTCAGCTGCTGAGAGAGACTGGGCAGGTTCCTGTGCAGACTGTATTCTTCGGCACTTACCTGAGGTCTGAGCATTACCCTGTCTTACTCGCTTGGGTGCTAACCGAGCTCGCTGTGTGGTATCATCATTTTGCCATGATTTCGGTGTTTTTAAGTGAATTGTGCATTGTAGCAGATGCTGCAAACCCCGCAGTTACTGCACAGCCAAGCATGTGGTGTTACCTCATGCACAGCAAGCTGTAGGGTGTTGGCTTGAAACTAATTGACCTGTTAATGTTGCCACTTAATTCGATGATTTCAGGTTCGCATAATTCCAAAATCAGGCTCTGGAAATGTGGAGAAGGTTTTAAGACATTGGAGCCACTGTTCGACATTCCCATGGTAAGAGAGAACGGTGTAGGACCTTGTGTCAAATGGGTAATAACTGGGCTGTCTCACTGAATGTATTGCAGTACAGGTTCAGGATAAACTACCTGTAGAACAAAGTTTACAGTTCAAATTCAGGGATCCATAAACTGGGAGCATTTTGCTAATGTGATGTGTACTGGGATAGAGCTCCACAAGCCCTCCTGTACCTGATCCTTTATGTGAGGAGATCACCAGGTTTCTGGATGAGGGTCAAGGGAAGCATTTGTACTTTCCTTAACCTCCTTCCAACACATACTTCCCTGCTCTTTCAGGCAGGGTAATAGCGTCTGGAACAATGAACCTCTCTCTATTCGTTTTTCTCAATTTGAAGGGAGCTGATGCTTGGGGCCTGATTGTCCTGCCCCTCTACTACCACTCTGTCCAAGATCAGCTAAGCCATCCCTGACCAAGAGTCTTCCCCTTTCCTGGTCTCAATGATTCAATTCCTCACCAGCAGGAGTGCTACTTTAGTGTATCATTTGGGACTGCTGTTTGAAGCATTTTACTGTTGAAATCCTGCTTGTTACTAATTGGTTATATTTTGGGTGTGGAGCTCGGTACAGTAAGTGCTCAGGAACTCTCGTTCCCCTTTTAAGAAAGATTCTTGTGACTGGCTTCTCCTGCACTATTTCAAGATGGACTTGGAAATAGTTGCTGCTTACACAGCAGTCAGCACTGCTCAAACTTACAGCTGCAGTTCCAGCTGGAAGAGCCCCTACTGTCAATTGACCTTAAAATAACAATGCCAGTCCAGTTAATTAATGCAGCAGCAACAATCCATGTTTGCCACCGCATTCCTGTCTTTCAGCTGGGGTTGTCTGCGCCCAGCTTGTTACACGTCAGTTCTGCTACTTGGGTCAGAGATGTGCTTAATTAATTTCTTCTTCATTGTCAGTATTGGGAAATGTGACAGTGTAAAGCCACTTAGACAACACAGCAGTTATCTAATAAGCAAAGTTTGAGGGCTGTGGTTGTTGGAGGTCAGTCATCTCAGATCTATGACATCTCTGCAAGACAGTGTCCTAGGCCCAACCATCTTCAGCTGCTTCATTAATAACCTTCCCTCCATTATAAGGTCAGAGGCTCAGAGTGTTGAGTATAAAATCCAGTTTATTTGTTGAAGATTGATTGATTATTACTGAATTAACATTCTTTGAAATGGGAGATTTGGGAAGGAGTATTGGCTGGGACACGGTCACATTGGTGACAAGGTCAATTCTGAATGAGACATTGTGTTCAAATAACACCTTTTGGAAAAATAGCACTTCTGTGGAATAGATGTGCTTGTCCCCTGATTTCTCCCTCTTCTCCCGACCTACACCCCTCCCCTTCTTCCCCACTTCCTCCGCCCCCACCCCCAACATCTGCAATTGGGGTGAGGTGAGAATTTGTTTCTGATGTTGGTAAACAGAGCTACAAACTGCTTTTCAAACCTGCAGGTCCACAAAGTCCACACTGGAGAATCCAAAAACTAGTTATAAATGTACACAGGGCTGAGTTTCAAGAGAGTGCCAGGGTGGAAGTCTCAGAGACAGAAGTTGTTATAGAAGATAGGAACAGAATTAGACAATCGAGCCCCTTGAGCTTTCTTTACTGTTCAATATGATTGCTGTTAGTCTTCTGCCTTCAGTCCTATTCCAGTATTCCTTGATTCCCTTTGGTCACCTTGCAACCATGTCACTACTGGGGATTAATTCCGATCCATTTCCTTCTGTGCTTCCATGACTATCTTGTTATGAATGTTTCGAGCATTGAACTAAAGAGAATTTGCTTAGCTTCCATTCACTGATTCACTCAACCCTCTAATTTAGCTTTCAACCTTTCATTGCCACGTTCAACTTTTTATCTAAATCATTGCCTTGTTCCATTACCTCAACTTCCTTCCTTCTGTTCAGATTTCTAAATTTCCTTTTACCCGACCCCTCGTCTTTTTTTTTAAACTTTTAAAGTCCATAGCTCTGGTTGTAAAATTCACTGAGATACTGATCCCTGTTTGGTTTCATTGAAACCCTTCCCTCTTTCCTGAGACCTGGTGTCTCATCATTCAATATTCCTTTTTCCCAAATCATTCTTTGCATCATGTGGTTATTTATCTAAGATAACAAGGTGTAGAGCTGGATGAACACAGCAGGCCACGCAGCATCAGAGGAGCAGGAAGGCTGATGGTTCAGGCCTAGACCCTTCTTCAGAAATGATCAGAAATTATCTAATCTGTTTGACCCTATATCAATTTGCCCACGACTTTGGTGGAAATTCAGACATTATTACTTTTTTTGAGGTTTTGCTTATTGAATTAGAGCCCATTCCTTAAATTCTTTCTCCTCCAAGTTAGTTTTACTCATGTAGATAGTTTTTATGTACACCGGACAACTGGACTTTCCACTCCAAGTTCTTCACTAGCCTTGAAGAAATGTTATAAAACCAGACAAGCTATGTGACCTTTGCTAATCATGGTCTCTGCTGCAGTGCACAGTATTAGTTTCCACCGGTGCCCTTGATCTCTGCTACATTCCTTTATGGTCCACTCAGTTGAATTTGGCTATCTCTCTTTCCTCCACCTCCACCACCACACCCCACCACCACCCCCACCCCACCACCACCCCCACCCCAAGCTCTTGTTGCACACTGGCAGCAAGTGCCATATGCCTCCAAAACAATCCAGGAGTGCTGAAAATAATCAGCACATGGCAGCATCTGTGGATGGGGCATCTGTTTAATGTTTCCGAGTTGATCAGAAGAGTTAACGAGTCATATTTGATTAGAAACATTAATAATCTCTGCCTTCCGAAAAGCTGCCAGACCTAAATATTTCCAGCACTTGCTGTTTTTTTATTTCTGGTGTCCAACATCTGCAGTGATTTGCTTTTAAGTATTTATAAAAGGGAGGCTGACCCACACCCACCCCACCCCACTATCGTTATACCCTGGGTCCCATACCTGCCTGAATCACAATCACATATTCCTGTTCCTGACCATCAATAATCTCTCAATTCTGCAGCAGTGTGTGATTGTGTCCTGGAATGACTCCAGGTCTGTGCCAACGCTCCTCAAGCAGCAGAAATACCGTTCTTCCAGATCTTGTTTAATAGGAATGTGGTGCTGTCTGTAAATCCCTACATGCTGCAGTTATAGCACAGCACCTCTGTCATTGTCAATCTGAACAGCTATTTATTTTAATTGGTTAAAATTAACTGTTCTATCAAATTTTTGAATTCTAAAAGTTGTTCCATCAGTCTTGGTAATCTCAAAAGGTAGGTAACAGATTATTAACTTTGAATACCTTCATCACTTAAAGAGCAAAATTAAAGTGGCATTATTCACCAACCAAGTCACTGTGATTTCATGCCAAGATTTGTTTTCAATTTTGAAATTCTAGCTCCATGCTCTGGCCCTCACTCTCACCACCTTTCCTTTGTAGGTCCACTCTCAGGACCTGCTTTATCCCTGCTCTCTCCCCTTTTCTATTTTGCAGGTCCATTTTGAATGTCCGTCTTTGCAATCTGCAGCCTGTGCTTGTACTCCAGTGTACTGTGCTATGATGGTTTGCAATCTGGAAATGTCTTTGATAGCTGTGTCCGGAGTTGCTGAAAACAAGATATTCCCTTAAGGAAGTGTCTCTGTGGCAACTGTGGCTGTTGCACAGCCCCATGCTGGATTGAAGCTTTCAGTACGAGTATGGGACCGTTGTGCCTCTGGACTGTGCTGAGGGAACCATTGGTTGTCCTACCTCTCTTCCTCCACACTCTCAGTAGAGGGACACTGCAGCAGCTTTGCTATCACCCC